TGTCTGGTCTGCATGGCAGCTTGATTGATCGGATCATTGGTATTTAAGCCATCCGTTGTGCAATCTTGTATCTGGCGAGAAAGATTGGTTCTTGGTCTGGTCTGCAGCGTTATGGTATGCAACAGAGCCTGGGCGCCGGAATGCCAAATGGCGCTAAGTATCGAAATCTGGAGTGCCGGAGAAAACGAAGGAATTTGAGAACGGGTGCCAACTGCAAAGGGCGCCAACAGTCAGGAACCGGAGGTAAGGAACTCAAAAATAAAAATAGCAGCCTGCCCGGTGGTAACCCGCGGACCAGGGATCGAGCCCTGGCTAACGTGTCTCCTCTTTTCTTTTTTCTGATTCTTTGATTGGCTGATCAGATCAGTGGCCAATTGTTTGACTGTTTCTTCTTCGGTTCCTTGTTCCCCATTACCTTCGAATGTCGTGGGGGTCTCTTCCTCTTGTGAATGGTTGACTTTTTCCTCGCGTAGGTATGAGACTGGCAACTCGGTTTTCTGGTTGGCTGTTATGTTCTGTTCTGCGTCCATACCCTCTTCATTTTTGTCCATGTATTGCGCTGCAAGAAATTCTGAGAAGCCACTGGTAGTGCTTCGTATGGGTTTGGGAATGTTGGAAAGCTCGAGAGGTTGTCTGTGCTTGTAGCCTTTTGGAGGCTACTAACATGTCTGGCGTGTGCCATCCGGATTTCCAGGTCCAATTCCCAAAGGGATTTCAGTGAGGTGATGTACTCTTCGAGCCACTCCATGGAGTCAGCTCCTCCTCCATTGCTGAGACCTGGTCATCTTCTGCTGTTCTTGCCGGCAGGGAGGCGTCCAGTTGCATGCCACTGGGTCTGTCTTCTGCTGAGATGCCATCCTTTTGCTTTTTGTGGTCTAGGACTTTGTCTGTTCCCCTTGTTGTTTATGCCCCTGTTCTTTGCTTCCATGCCGTCTGTGTGTTCCAAATTTTCGAGGTAAGTTTTTTCTGCTTCTCTTCCCATGGCATGCACTTCACTGAGGATCTGATTTCTGTACATATTCTGCTCCAGGTGAAAGGTCTGCCCAAGGTTGAAATTGCCATACCTGTGTATTGACCTGTCGTTCCTTCTTCCCCCTCCCGTCTGCCATCTGCTTCCGTGTGGAGGAAACACATCGGGTTTGCAGGCTGGAACTGCATCTGACAGCGTCCAGATCCATGCTGGGCTTTCCCTGAGATCGTCGAAGACCCATCCTGCATAGGGTGGGTCGGCGATGATCCATATACCCTTCATTGCTTCCACTTCCACTAGCATAGAAGGGTGCAGTCTCCCTTTCTGTTATTCTGTGGTCACTGGGGGTTGCTCCCCATGTGCCCTTTGATTCTGCATCTGAAGCACATGGGGTTCGTTTTTGTGGAAATGTGGACTTTCTGGACTTGATGCCCCATTCTGAAGAACCATCTGTCTGGGAATTCTGGTGGGTTGCTTGACTTCAATTCTACGCAAGCGATTCTCGAATTTGTACTTGGTGTACTTCGATCATTCCGTGTAGACCGTCCGACAGGTTATCAAACTGAATCCAGAAGCGTCTGGACATCAGCGATTGTCTGTGCCTTGCCGATCCCTGAGGCGCTGATCTGTTGGGGTCTAATTTGGCAATTGATACCACAGACCCCTCGCAATAGAGGGCCTGTATCGACAACAGGTAAGCAGCGTACTCTGGGTCAGCGCAGAGCACTGAGACTGCATTTCTTCCTCTCGGCTGGTAAGCAACTTTGGGTTCGGTATCCTTCAAGTTTTCGATGTGCTGAAAGGCTTCCCAGATTCTTCTTCCAGATTCTTCTTCTTTTTTCCGTGGGTGGGAGGTGCTTCAGTTTTGCTGGGAACGAGCAGACAACTGCATGAGATTCGTAAAATGCCTCCAAAACAGGGAGGTGTTCCTTTGGGTATTCCCAAACTTCGACTTCTGCTTCTTCAACTTTGTTGATTTCGGAATCTCCTTCGATACCACAGGTTTGATGCTTGTTTCTTTGATCATCTTGTTGAGGACCTCTTGACTTCTGCTTCTTCGTCTTTGTTAATTTTCAGAATCTCCTTCGATACCACGTGTTTGATGTTTGTGTTTCTTTGATTGTTGAGGACCTCTTGACTTGAGTCCTGTTTGCTTTGTAACCACATCCTTTTTTATCCTGCTCCCGAGTCAGAAGTTGAGGCTGTACCTGTGGCTGTTCCTGCGGCTGAGCCCGAGGCTGAGCCCGAGGCTGAGACTGTTCCTGTGGGAGTGGTCAGAAGCGGGCTTGAGGTGTGATCGGACGAGATGTTGTGAAAGGGGCTGATGTGCATGGAGATGAAGGATCTAGGAGTTTTTAGCAGGAGACTGGGTTTAAGCGGGGCTGATTGTGTACGTGAGGAGGGAATTGACAGGTTTCAAGACACAGAGTTTTGGCGGCGATTCCTCGCCCCACTTGGGGTCAGTAGTTGCTAGTACAGATACTGGATTCGAGTGAGTGATAAGCTGTTTTATTTTCGGAAAGAGTTGCCATGTGGGAACAGGGGTTGTTTCTTCTCGAGATGATCCGACAAGTTCCTGCTTTTGAGAGTTCAAAGGAGGTGGATATGACAAGTTCGACGGTAAGTAGCAGCTGCTAGTTTCTGATATAATTGGTAGCAATCAATTTTAATGGAGTTAATATTGATGTATGTTAATGTACAGATGATGTTTAATGAGTAAGGATGAGTTTGAGGTATGCTCTGGATTATGGACTACTAAATGGTTGTCTCGCTGAGGTTGTACTCTTGAGAAAGGAGTGTTTGGGGGGGAGGTGCAAGATGTTCGTGGGGAGAGGCCAGTAAGGGTATGGAATCTATGGATGAACGGGTGAGAAATACTGGGAAGAGACTAATTCTGCGTAGCCGTTGATTGGTTAGGATAATGGGAGACCTAGATTGAAGGCTACTAGGATCTTCCCATGTTGGGTGTTGGGTCCGTCGGAGTAGTTTATTTGGGATTTGGAATTTCGTCAGAGGATGGCAAGGGTGTTCATGAGTTGAGGCGGGGGGGGGGGGGGGACGGGATGGGTGAGAGTGGTGTAGGTCAGAGGGTGTGGGGAATTGTCGGAAAACACTGTGTTTTGTGGGGCTGTG